ATTTGCAATCTTTTTAGTTTATGGTAGTTGCAAATACTTTTAGTCTATACTAACTATGAACTTTGTGTTACATGTGTTTTAAAAAACCGTACTCCCCTTAGTAAAAATAACCTTGGACAGTTGTGATGTGATGTTCCTACTAACCAAAACCCAGATGGCAAATAAAATCTATTAAACAGGATGCACGTCAACATCTCCCTTTTACCTGAACCTGCTGTGGCTGTTGAACCTGAATCTGCTGTTCTTGTTGGGTTTGTGGCTGAACACTGGTGGTGACTGGACAGGCAAGTTCAAGCAAAGACCCAGCCACTTCGGTGCTGTCTGTGTAAATGCAGTTCCCACCCTGTTGGTACACCATGGTAGTGGTAGCTGTCTGCTGGAACTCCTGAAGGGCTTCCGGCCCTTTAGAGGCTAGTGAGTCCAGAAATTCCTTCATCCTGTGTTGCGGGACAGACCGCGCCTTCACTCGGATGTACTCTTCAAAGGAAATGGTGTTTTCCAGGGAATTATTCATATTGCAGAGTCCTTAGGGTTCCTAGAAATAAAATAAATGGTCAGAAGTCAAAATTATGCTATTGTTTTCATATTCTGAAATGCAGAGCAATCATGCTTGCATCAGAGTGGAATATTCAGGGTAGCTGTGTACATCTAGAATCCAAAATAGAGTTATTATACCACCTTATTCTTTTTTTAGTTAACAGCATCTAGAAATTGTTTCCATAAACATTTCTTAAATCAAACTATCACAGTGAAAACAAAAAACAAAGGCATGCGTCATAGTACTGGATCAAACAGGCTGAAAACACACTCTCCACCCAGCTCTAGGCCAATGCCATCTTCTCTGCAGAGCCAAGCACTGGACAACAAAAGTCACATGCAAAATTACTCTGTGACCATCACAGAGAGGACAACCAAGGAAGTTAGGAGCAGGGATTCCTACTAACATGTTCAATTTCTGCGGCCAACGATGTCCTAGAGTGAAGAATACATATGCCATCTAGCTGTAGCAAGACCCTAGAGAAGGGGAGTATATACTTATATTTCAGCTGACACCAGAAACACCAAAAATCCTTTTGCTGTATATTGCTCACATTCTTTTACAGCACAGCTTACTGGTCAAAAGCACGGATTTTGGAGCCAGCCTGCCAGGGTCCAAATCCCAGCTTGATCTCTCCTTAGCTCTGAAACCCTGGACAAGTTATTTAACCTTAGTTTGTATATAAAATGGGGACAAACAGTATCTACCACAGAACTGACAAAAAGATTAAACACACTTCACAAGTAAAGTACTTCGAAGAAAATCCAACATAGATAGCACCATATAAGTACTAGCTGGTATTATTAAAATTAGCTAGGGGGGGAGCTGAATAGCGCTTTAAATTGCTAGGTCACTACTAAGATTCAGAGATCAATTTGTCACATTCTTCATTGGGGTATTTACCCTAAGAATGAATCTGCAAGGGTAGATAGTAATTTTCAATTACCTGGGGGACAACCACACAATCTATCTATGGACTGCTAAGGGCCCTACCACTGCTACTTTCATACTGTTCCCTCCTCTCTGGATCAGAACCACCTCCAGAACAAAAGCAGCAGCAGGACAGGAGGGTCACACTGACGATGTCAACCTTTTTGCCAAAAAGGGCTCTCTGTCAATTGCAAATGAAAAAGTGATTTGTTCCCCTGGGCCATCAAGGAAAGGCTAGAAGGGCATCAAGGCTAGAAATGCCAGCCTCTTTCACTGCCCAGGTGTTCTGCCTTATGTTACAGATAAAAGGCATATGGGTAATCATCTCATCCCTTTCACTTGACTCTAACTCCTGGCAGACAAGACTGTGTCCCAATACTCTCTGGCTGACACACAGTAGGCACATATATGTATACATATACATGTATGTTGCATTTGCAATTGAATGTAGAAAGGATTATGGCTCTTTGTCCCTGTAACATCTCTAACTTACAATCATAAATGTTACCCTTTTTCTTGGTAAATAGTTAGTATATATCTTGGGAAAAGAACCTACGTATCTGGGACAAGTGTTAGACCAAAGAAAACATGTAATTCTTACTGCTACTAAGTTATTAACACTGGCAACATTTCTGTGGGACACTAAATATACTACACGAATTATATTTGGGTGCTTTCAAAGAGAAGAGACCCAACAGTAATTCTTTTAATGATGCATATAATATATTCTAAATATACTTTTCCATAAATAAACAATAACACACACACACACACACACACACACACACACACTCAAGAACAACACATATACCTTGTCCTGCCTAAAGTCAAATCCTAGGCCACTACTCTCTGGAGAGCCTCTATTTCTCAGGAAACTCCAAGCACAATAAAGTGCAGAGAACAGCAAGTGCAGGTCAGGTGAGGGAAAGGTTAAAGCCTTTGCTGACAGCCTCTAATCTGAAATTTAACTCGTTTGTCCCTTTCTCACTTCTCTTCTGACCATCTCCCTTGCTCAGTTCTCTCTTCTCTCTGCTACAGCTGCATTCAGATATCTTCTTTTCTCAGAGTTGAAAATTAGGAGGTCTTTCGAAGTCTATGAGACTTCAAATTTCAGCTCTCAGTGATGTCATGGCACAAATGAGAAGACCACCACAAAGGACAAGCACCTCATCCTTTTCTTACCTATTCAGAGAAGGACATTCCAGTGTAGGTGACCCACAAACACTCACCACACTGGTACAGAACGTGTCAAACCTCCCCTCTGATAAGAACATCATGACTGGAGTTTCCTTCTGAAGAAGGCAGCTCTCATAATATAGACCCAACAACATTACAAAATTCCCAGCATGTGACTCTAAATACCTAATCACACTTACCCTTCTAGCTCAAAAAGGGACAAAGGAGAGATATATGAACAGAAATTAACTGTTTCTATGCTATGCTATTACGTATTTCAGTAGTCTACCTCCATCATAAAAGAATGGCAGAGGTCAACTGAAACTTCCATTTCCCCAAATTTATTTTCTTCAACAATTAGCTGCATTCCCATAAAATAGTGAGAGACTGCTTGAATTCTGAAGACTGTCTGTACTGGAGTCATTGCTACTATGTCAAAGCAATTTTTTTTTTTTTAAAGACTTTATTTATTTGACAGAGATCACAAGTAGGCTGAGAGGCAGGCAGACGGGGGGCGGGGCGGGGGGGGGGGGGACGCAGGCTCCCCGCTGAGCAGAGAGCCCGACTCGGGGGCTCGATCCCAGGACTTGGATCATGACCTGGGCCAAAGGCAGAGGCTTAACCCACTGAGCCACCCAGGCACCCCTCAAAGCAATTTTTTTAAAAGTATGGAGAATCATATAGCAAAACCTTTTTTTGTCTCAAATCTGGGGGAAAATAAATACAAATGAACATAAATACCCCCAAAAGTTATAAGTAAGTTTACAGAATCAGAAAACCTTCATACAAGCACTGTTTGGTAAAGGCAGGTCCTAAATCTTCCTAGTGACTTATTTCCCTTCATTCCAAATTTCAGTAATCAGGAGGCTTAAGACTCATATGAAGTCTGATATTAAATATAAAGGAGAACTGCACCAAATTCTTTTTCTAGAAACAAGTTTTCAGGGTAGAATTACATCTAGTTTTCTGGTTTGTTTTGCTGGTTTGGGGGGGAAGTAAAAGTAACACATTTATTTTTTAAGAAAAAATATTCAAATAGTACAGAAAAATAATTTAAAAATACCCCACATTCTGTTATACATTCTCAACAGCACTTAATATTAATGTCTGATTTTTCATTAACAGAGCACGGTAGGTGCCATATTCAGGGTTTAACTTACTTTTCTTTGATGACTAATGAAGTTGAATACCTTTTTTTTTTTTTGAAGATTTTACTTCTTTATTTGACAGAAAGAGACACAGTGAGAGAAGGAACACAAGCAGGGGGAAGTGGGAAGTGGGAGAGGGAGAAGCAGGCTTCTTGCTGAGCAAGGAGCTCAAAGCAGGACTGGATACCAGGATTCCAGGATCATGACCTGAGCTGAAGGTAGCCCCTTAAGGACTGAGCCACCCTGGCACCCAAAGTTGTGTCTATTGATAATTTTGAAATCCTGTTCTTTAAAATGTCATTTTAAGTCTTTTACCAATTTATAAAGTTTTCTGCATTTTGCTACTTGATTTGTAAAAGTTCTCTGTGTATCTTATAAAAGGACACTATATCAAATATATGTGCATTCATCTGTCTTTTAATGTGTCATTTAATGCAAAGCAACTGTTTTTTAATTGTATGTATTTAACGGGTACAATTTGTAAGTTGATATAACTATGCATTAAGAAATAATCACCACAATCAAGCTAACAAACATGTTAACTGCCTTTAAAAAAAAAACCCACAAAATAATATGTAAGTATGCTTTCTTGATCTACCAATTTTTTTTTTTAGAATAACAAAAAATATTTTACTAAAACATAAGATTTACAGAAGTTTCCAGACAAGCCATACAAAATGGTCACAAGCTTTTTCTTGAAGGAAGGATTCTACACTTGACAGCAAAGTCACAATGTTATTAGTGAGGGCTGTGATGTTTGTTTAATGTTCCCATTTTGGTTCAAACAATCAAGCTTGTCCATCTACAGTGTCTAAATAAAGTTAGACTTGGCTAGAGAGCATATTCTAAAGAACTGGTTAGCTGCTTTTAACCAATGCAATTAGATCACCATAAAAAGGGGGAAAGGAGCCCATAAAATTAAAATAAAACTACGTCTCCCCCTCAAAAAAGTAATAAAGAAAAACACCCACACCCCTGCAGCTAACCCTGACAACTACCTTCATTCACAGTGCTTAACCATGATGGGGGAAATGAATAAAAGCAGAGAAGGGCCGCTGCTTTTATACATTTCACAACAATCCAGATGGTACTTCTAGCCTCTGCTCATGCTTTACAACAGTGAATCAGGACAAGAAATAGATTTGCTAATGTGCATTTAATCACCAAAGGACTGAAGATGTCTGGGTTTTATTCTGTAATGTTTCTAAGACTGTGTCCATTAAATGCAAACAAAAAGGAAGAAGTCTTGGCAGAACAGGATAAGTGATGCACACTTGATGATCAGATCGATTTTAAATATTATTCATGGCATATAGCCTAGTCCATGCTCTAGCTGTTTCTATGGCTTGGGCCTCGTTGGTCTTCCACTGCTCTGCTACATCGTTTGCTAACGGATCATCCGGATTGGGAGCACTTAACAAAGCCTGGATCGATAGCAGAACTGTGCGGATCTGCAGTGCTGGGGACCACTTATCTTTCAAAATATCTAAACATATTCTTCCCAACTTGTCTACATTAGGATGATAAATTTTGGTTATGAAACGTACTTTAGGGGCTGCCATCGGGTATTCTTCTGGTAGGAATAGTTCAAGCTTAAAAGTCCCTCCCTCAAAGGGGGAATCCTGAGGGCCAGCAATGACCACATGAAAATAACGAGCGTTGCTCTCATCTGGTTCTGCTTTAATGCCAGGAACTGGTTCTGCCAGCAAACGCTGAGTTTCCTTGATAATCCTGCGGGGCAGCCCGGCCATCTTGTCAGATCCCGAGTTCGGCCTTCGGTCTCCACTCTGGCTCCGCTCGCCTCACGCACGAGTGGAAGTCCTTGATCTACCAATTTTAAACACTGATCTGTCCTTCAGGAAAGGTAAGTTAGGGCATTTAAATTATCTTCCTCTCACTAACCCCTGCCAATCACATTTTTATTTTTGCCATGATCAATTTCATAGCTTTAAATCTGTATTTGTAGGCTTATTAATTTCAGAGTATCTCCAGACTTTGCACTATATAAGATAGGGAAATTAAAGTCTTGTGTCCTCTATTTTTGACAAGCATTTAGTGAGGGGAGTATAACTCTAATAAATCAATAGCTTACTTTTAGAATACAGCATTTCATACCGAATTAAACTTAGGACATTATTTTTTTTTAAATCAAGGTTCCAAAGATGATAACCATTCTGCTCCAAGCAAATCCTGTATTTCTAGAATACCATGTTAAGATAAATCACTACAAGAAACCCTAGTCCGACTATAAATTTATTCCAAAAAGCAAAAATAAGATGGATATTCAGTTCTCAGAAAGAATGGAATAAGGAGTACCTGGGTGGTTCAGTCAGTTAAGTGTTCAACTCTTTTTTTTTTTTTTTAAAGATTTCACCCATTTATTTGACAGAGATCTCAAGTAGGCAGAAAGGCAGGCAAAGAGAGAGGGGCAAGCAGGCTCCCTGCCAGGTGTGGAGAGCCTGATGCTGGGCTGGATCCCAGGACCCTGAGCCCAAGATAGACACTTAACCCACTGAGCCACCCAGGTGCTCCAAGTGTCCAACTCTTGATCTCAGCTCAGGTCATGATCTCAGGGTCGTGAGTTCACCCTGGTGTTGGACCCCACACTGGGCGTGGAGCCCACTCAATAAATTAATTAAATTAAAATTAAAAAAGAAAGAATGGAATAAAAGCTTGGAAATGCATCTGCTATAAAGTCTCAAAGTTCATTCAAGATTTCATTAAAATAAAACAGGGGCACCTGGATGGCTCAGTCATTAAGCGTCTGCCTTCAGCTCAGATCATGATCCCAGTCTCCTGGGATTGAGCCCCGCATGGGACTCCCTGCTCAATGGGGAGCCTGCTTCTACCTCTCCAGCTCCCCTGAGCCTGTGTTCCCTCTCTAGGTATCTCTGTCATAAATAAATAAAACCTTTAAAAAACAAAACAAAACACCAATAGCCTGAAGTAGGAAAAGTGCTATAAAACTTAGAAAATGTTGATAAAGGCTCCTCAACAGATATTCTATTCTTCTGTATCCTTGTGAAAATACATGAAACATTCTATGATAAAAACACCTTTTGTATTTTAAACAGTTTAGACTACAAAATATAAAAACACTTTGCTGTGCTCCAAGTTTAGAGCTGACTGTAGTCAGGGGAGCTTCAAGCAGAAGCCAGGGCTTCCCGATTCCCATTGTTTTTTTCTTTCACTAGGCCCCTAGGAGGTTCTTCACCGATTCTGTCTGTACAAGTCCACAAAATCCTTTGAGAACCAATGAATCAGAGGAAGCTAAAAATATTAACCAATAATGACTTCAATGGAGAACTTAAAAAGTTTTTTAAGATTTTATTTTGAAGTGGTGCCTGGGTGGCTCAGAGGGTTAAGCTTCCACCTTCGGCTCAGGTCATGATCCCAGGGTCCTGGGATCAAGCCCCACATCAGGCTCTCTGCTCAGCAGAGAGCCAGCTTCCTCACCTCTCTGCCAGCTTGTGATCGCTCTCTGTCAAATAAATAAATGAAATCTTAAAAAAAAAAAAAAATTTATTTTTAAGAAATCCCTACACCTAATGTGGGGCTCAAACTCACAACCCATGGATCAAGAACTACATGCTTTACTGACTGAGTCAGCCAGGCACCCCCTGGAGAACTTAAAAATTTAATGGAAAAGGCCAATTTGAAAGAACATTCCAATCTGTCCATTTATACAGACTAAAACACACATGGCTTCATTTCTTGTCTTTTTAACCTGCTCACTTGGTATTATCTACCAGACTGACACATCCCAATAACGAAAGCACACTAAGTCAGCATTTGACCTGACACAAAAGTGCTGCTCAGAAGGGGGTGGGCAAAGGGAAGGTTTCAGAAATGTATTCAAATATTTTAGACTAGTCAGTGAGTAAAAAAAAACAGAAAAATTAAGCAAATTCTCAATAGTGGTGACCACGGTTTCTTCCTGTTTTTGTGATCAGAAAAAGCCCTCGCTACCATAAAATCAGGTCATTATTCAGCTACAATTTTTTAACTTAACAGCGTAATTTTTTAATACAATGCTTTGACTAATTTAAAATTTATTTTGTATAATGTGAGGTAAAAGTCTAATTTTATTTTTTCCAAAGAGCAAAAGACTTGTCCCTGTATCGTTTACTGAATTACTGAAATTCCTTTGTTCAATGACTTGAAATGCCACTGTTATCATATACCAAATTCATATAAAGAAAGTCCGCTCCTAAGCATTTACTGAGTGTTCTACAGATCTACTAACACAGTAGCCAAAAAAAAAAAGATGTTAATATCTGGAAGATTCCTTGTCCTCTCAATAGCTTATTTAAATTTAACAAAGAAATAAATTATGTGTGAAAAGGGAACTAATACAATTGTATTTATATATCCCAATATTGTTTATATAACTAAAGAAAAAAAACGCAAAAAAACCTGCTAACAGTAGTTCTGCCTTGGTGGTAGATTCCGAGGACTTAAATTTCTTCCTGTTTAATACTCTCCTATATTTTCCACAATTTGTATTAAATCAAAAAGATAATTAAAAATTAATCTTTTTACACACCGATTACACCACAGTAACACACAAACGATTCTGGCTGATCGTAGCATGATTTTTCCCTCAAAATCTAAAACTCTTATTAAAGACAAAAATCATCAAGCACCAGAGCTTGCATAATAATGAAGACTGTTAACTTCTTCAAGATGCTACTCACAAGGCTGCACAAGGGTGAGCCCTGGTAATGGAGAAATGGAAAAACTCTCTACAACCCCCCAAAGAAGCAAGATTCTTAATTAGCTCCAGGTCAAAGACTTGGTGAGCAAAAGTAAATTAAATGATTAATTAAAATACTTCAGAAAAACATGCAGCTGGAGGGATAGTTGAATACTCCCAATTTCTGGGAGTCAAAAAGCAGAGTGAGGAAAATACTTTGGGGCTCATTGGGATAGGGCAGTCTGTAAACAAGCATTTGCTTCTGAATACTCTTAAGCATAGCTGCTTTGCAAAACAATAAACAGAAAACCCCACACCAACAGACCTAGAAAATTTTCACTTATATACACACCTATCAATCACTAGTATTTCCCCAGTATCTTCTACTGGAGCTTAGCACAGTGTCTGACAGATTTAGACCTCAATGTATGAAGTTATCATTACTTTTATTATTTTATAACTAGAACACAAGAAGGTATGATGGACAAAGGTTATTCTAAAGGAATAATCTATTATATTTTCATAGATCTCTTTGCCAATTTCTTTCTTTTTTCTATTTAGGTACTAAAGGAAGACTTAAATACTCACCAGAATCATCCTATCTTGGGTCTCCTCAAATTTCTGATACCTCTTCCCAGTTTCCCATGCAGTTCCACAAAGCAGGTCTTGAATATAAAATGGACTAAGAGAAGAAACTCTGAGCTGCCTCAGAACCCTGCCTCTTCTTGTTTACCCAGTCCTGTTATTGGGCCCCTCTCACAGTTCACATCTACTGTGTGTAGATGGCTCCTTACAGCTCTGTTTAAGTCCGTTTGAAGAACATATTCACATTAAGAAAGAAATCAACTTCTATTTTAAGGAGCTGCAGTCACATCTGTCCTAATTAACATAAAGAATCATTTCAAAGAAGCAAATTGGGAGATAAACTTCTATTCTTAAGGATACTAAACCTATACATGGTTTGGGATAAGTATTATCCCACTGGGTCATTTATCTGCCCCACACCTTTACCAGAGGAATGCCTGATTTAGGGGCATTTTTGCCATGTTTCTATTTTTGGACAACACACTTTCAACCAGGAACTTAAATTCACATTCCCACCAAAGACTGATGGACTGTAAACTGGCACACCATTTGTATCAACTAGTAAAGCTGAATTCTATCCCCAGGTGTGTATCACACACATATACAGAAAGGTAATTATATAAGAATGGTCAAAGTAGTATTGTTAGTAACAGCCCCAAACTGGAAGGAATCTAGATGTCTAGCAATAATAGAAGGGATGAGTAAATTATGGTACAGTCATACAGTTGAATACTATAAAGAAACTGGAATGAATGAACTACAGTCACACACAATGGGGATGAATTTAGCAATGCTTAAAGAAGGAAGATATAAAATACAGTATGATCCCATGTACATAAAACTCAAAAGCAAACGAAACTATGTTGTTGAGAAATATGAAGGTGATAAAAGTAAAAAGAAAAAGAACATGATTGTCACAGAAGTCAGAATGATAATTATCTCTAGCAGTTGAGAAGCTATGACTAGGAATGGACCCCTGAAGGGTGCAGGGGTGCTGGCACTGTTCTACTTCTTGAAGAGGTCGTAAACCAGTGGTTCATCTTATAATTTTTCATTAAATTTTATACAGATCACCTGAATTTACAGGTATTTAAAAAAAAAATAAAAAAGCTTTCTGACACAGCCAACCAGCTCTACCTAAAATTTTGCTCTAGCCTCAAGTGTGACACCAAAGGTTCATTCTTTCCCCCTTTTCAGCAAAGCAAGAGGTTAATCTATCCCTTGTTCATGCAGCCACAATCAGAAATCACAATCCTGGAGAGGACTTAAAACATCTGGAACAAAATGCAGGGCAACTAAATACAAAGTAACAGAAAAGAATAGGTGCTCATATAACACCTCATTCTGAGATGGAGAAATAAAAGACCATTACAGACAAAGAATGGCCATTTCAAAAGTAGACAAGCAAGAAGCATGACACATAGAGTTCAAACCACAACTGATTAAAAGACAGCATGCAAACTTTAAGGAAAAGATTCCTGATTCTGAAGCTGTCATAATGCAAGACAGTCATACCTAGAGCCCCTGACTTTGGT